TAATACTAGTTAAGATAACAAAATCCTAGATAACGTTTGTAGATGTGAATCTCAAACATAAATACTAGACAAAGTATATTACAGGTTGAGAATATAAGGCAGCTTAATAAATGTCTTTATTTGCACACAATCAATCCAAGATAAGATCATTGAAAAAGGATAAATAGGGTAGTTGTGCAACACCCCGAGTTTGCATTGATCGAGGTATCCAGCTATACTAGAGCTATAACAATGATGCAATCTGGATATTGTATATTAAAGACTTCAAATTCAAGAGTGAATGTGTCTTTAATATTAGAGGTGTATTCATTTAGAGAATCAAAGCTAGAAACTTTGAATAAATAACAGAAAAGTCAATAGATTTAACTTAGAGGACATTTCAAAGTAAGTTTATACTTGTGCCACTAAAGAAAATGATATTGCTAACAATAAACAATTTTAGGGCACAAAGTATACAATTGCACTCAATTAGGAAAATCTCTCGAGAGTGTAATATTTTGAATATAACTTTGTGGCCACATATAAAATTGAGGGTTGTACTAGAGAACAATTGTACATATTTTTTAGGGAAATGGGGTTAAGGTCAAAAGCTAACGAGTTATCTTCATGGAAACCTATCCTAACTGACTGGAGATCCCAAGATCTAGGTTTAAAGGGACAACATAAATTCTGAATAACTCACAAGAAGCACTGGGAATATATAAATCTTTTACCAATTTCTATGATGAGACAGTGCAATGTACATACAACGAGGATTAGGATATGCTACACTTTTAATGACTCGTATATATATCTTGAAAATTCAAGTAGGGTATGGTATGACACTCTTAAGAAGAAGTCACCTATATAAGTGTGGAGTGGGGTCTTTTCTATTAGAACTATAAATGCTAAGTTTTCTAGAGCACTCATGAATACCAGGAGTTGTTCAGGGCTAAAACGAATTAACACAACAATGAGAACTAACTCTGTGAGGAAGGGTACTGCGTGTTGGTTATTGTCTTGGTTTACACAAACGACTGAATAGTTCAAGACATCGCGTTCACTGGTTAGCCAGTAAATCATATAGCAATACATTAGGGAAGGTTTAAGGCCAAAAGTTACCTAGTTATCCTGATGCAGTAACTTTCCGACTATATTCTCTCTTGTGTCTACATAATCATCTTTTACATTTAAGCAACCAATTTCAATTCTTGTGGGGGATTGTTGGAATATATGAATGAAACTTGCATGCAACCTATTCATCATGTTAGAACTGTAATGTGAATATGGCTTTGGGTGTCCATGTGTATTACGTTAGACAATAACGTGAATGTCACTTGTTGTACAAGAATTGATATATTGGTGTACATGCATACTCTGTATGTTGTTGCAACACGAATATTCTGGTGTGAAAGGGTTGTATGATGTTGGTTGCAACGTAAATATTTTGGTGTGAAAGGGTTGTATGTTGTTGGAGCCGGTGTATCTCATTAATTCAAATTTGTCGATCTACAAAGATTGTTAATCTTTGTACATAGAAGAATAGAATGAACCACAAGTGTAGGCTAAACCAATGTAACGATTTGAGCCATTGTGTCTGGTGATCTGTGTCGCGTCTGATAAACAAACAACATATTTCAGTTGTTGGAATGTGTAAGGGTGCGTGTATGACTGGGGGTGTAAGGGTGCGTATATGAATGGGTGTGTCCCAATCCCAAAAGACACTAACACTTTTATAAATAACCCAGGCTGCTTTAATTCATTATTCATTCCACATAGAGAATTCACGTATGAATCTCTGCATTCTTCTTTCCCTATCTCATAAACCTAAGTGGGTTCAAGCCATAAAGGTCAAGTGGTTCGAACCACTAGACCAAACATCTATAGCAATGAACCATATATATTGCAATTAGTTAGAGTTAAATATATAGTTCAGATTGAACCTAATTCATATTTCTTATAGTATAGATGCATTTTTAAGTCAGAGAGAGTATTACACGGAGAAGGTTTGCCGTATTCACAATTTTGTAGTGCTAGTACTGGTGGATGTAGACCATTGTATCATGGGAGACAAACGCTATAGAGTGTTAAGGATAGTGATATAGACTTGGAAAGTCACTCCTCAGGAATTTCTTATCAATTCTCTATGCGAGGCGTAAATTGTCTTAAGGACATAATATTAAATACTAGCATCGGTTCATGTTCTTTATTTATTTATTATTATTTTATTGCTTTAATTTACATGTTTAATTAAATATAGAGTTGCATATTTAATTAATTATTTTTAGCATATTATTATCCCATATCATATTAGTATAAGTTTGTTATATCTTAAATACCATAATATGAAGTATATATTTTCCAACATGTAGTTCATATCTAATTTGTTTAGTTAATGGATTATCAAATTCGAATCGGTAAAAAAAAATTCGAATAAAGTTTTCAATCCACATTCGAGTTATTGAATCAGATTCCAGTCAAAATTGGATCAATTGACATGCCTATGGCTATTACATCAAAATCAATGATATTCTTTAAATACAGAGAAAGGGCAAATCCTTTTGCAAAGTTCAGAGAAGGTGGATAATAGCCAAGGCTTTCATTTTGAATTGAATTCTGTTAGAAAAAAACTAGGGCAAATCACAGAAGAACTATGAACTTCTTTTGATTCCCTGTTCTTTTGCTTTTTAATCTTTTTCCAATGAATTCAGGATGTATTTTTAATTAAATAAAACAAATATTAGGAGGAAAATTTGGTATTTTAAATTGCTAGGCATTGTCGGCCGCGTGGAGAATATGTTACAAAATTACATATAATAAGAACATGTGGAGAGACAAACTTATGGGATCGATGAAATTCTAATTTATTTACTCCATTTTTTTTAAAGAGTATAGATCTGTCTCTCTCGTCAATCAATATATAATGCATTAGGTGAGGAATGATCATGAAATTTGAGCTAATCTCTTTGGAATGACAGTTAAGGGAATGAAATTATATATTTTATCAAGGAGTTGGACGCATGTGAAGAAAAGCAACATATATATGTATGTAGTACATAGAGTGATCATATAGAGATTGTAAAAGCCAATCTATGGAAATTAGAAGCCCCCTCCTCTTCTGCTTGCTGGCCCTGATCATGACTCACTTTCTGGGCGGTGCTAGAGGTGTAAAATGCAGTCCTCACCACTCGGATCAATTCAGTCGGTGCAATTTTCCAGATGGATTTGTATTCGGAGCATCATCATCAGCCTACCAGGTATGTAACTTTCATCCATTTCAAGAATGTGGTCATTTTTAATTTCATCATTTGCAAGTGTCTTGTTGCCGTGGTTATGTTGCTTCTCGTGTAAACCTTTCGGGTCGGATTCGAATCGGATCATGGTCAATCCGATCTGAATCCGATAAGCAAAATAACTGATCCGGTCCGATCCGATAATCCGACGGATCCTTTACTAATCAATCCATATCCGATATTACGGGTATTGAATGCAGTTTGAAGAAATACAAATAAAACAAAATGATCCAAATATACCAAATATCAGCATGTATTTGATCTATGAAATTCATCTGTGAAGATCATTCCACTGCTGAAAATATGTTTAATTTGGTAAAAAAAATGGAATCAAAGTTAGGGTATTATAAGAGAGGGAAGCAGCTTTTGTAATACATACCAAAAATCACCAAAAAGAGATAAAAATGAAAGAACGATTGAGTGGGAAGAAGAAATTGAAAAGTGAAAGATATATTCTGAAAAAACATAAAAAGAAGGAAAATTAGGGCTGGATAGGAGAAAAGGAAGAATACAAGAAAAGTGAGAAAAAAGTAACAAACAAAAAAAATTACTTCGCAAGCATTCCAACCATGGTTTCGGCAATCCATTGCTGGCTCGCCCTTCCTCTTCCACTTCCGGCAGTCCATCTGAGGCCTCCCCATTTCCCCTTCACTTTTCGCCTCTTTCAGTTTTCATCGTGCCCTAAATTAGGTGATATACAACATATATATATATTGGGAGAGTTCTATTATGTGGGTAAGAACATCATTATAAGTTACAACTTACAACTTAACAAATCCAACGGTCATATCTGATTTATATATATATATATACATAATATAAGTATAATTATATATAATTTTAATCGGATCGGATCGCCCTAATCCATATCCGATTTGTTAAGTTAACAGGTTATCGGATTCGGATCATTATCGGGTTATTGGATTTTTTATTCAATTCATATCCGGTTAATCGGATCGGATTCGGATCAGAATCCAATCCATTGACAGGTCTATTCTCGTGTCTAGAAGTCCATATTCGAATCTTGCATCATACCCCTCCCCTCCCCTCCCCTCTAACAACTAACCTCTAATATTCTTGTCATAAAAATAATGAATAAATAAATAACAGAAAGAAAGCAAAAGATAATTTAATCTATTACCAATACGCCAGTCGCCTAGTGGTATCAGACTCTTACTTTCTAAAGAATAGTCAGGAGTTCGAACCTCGGTAGAGACATGTGTGTGAGAGTACTAGCTAAGAAAGAAAAAAAAAAAAAAAAAAAAAAAGAAAAAAAAATTAATCCATTACATAAACCCTAAAAAAAATTAAATAAATAAAAGGTCTGGACTTGGGTATGTTTGGCAACGTTGTGGTTTTTATTTTTTCTATTATTATTATTATTATTGGTATGGAGACAGATGGATGAGAATGAGAGAGCTAAGGATTTATCCTGTGTAAGAAATTGGTCATTCCAATGTGAAAGATGAGGATTTGTCATTTTATGTCTTTTCGAAGACAATGTAAATGTGTCTTGTGTGTATCATTTGCAGAGACAATTTTTATTTAGTCCATGATCTTTCCTTATCAAACGAGAGGTTGTGTATTCAGGCCAATATAGTAAGCGTGAGCCTGTTTGCTTAAGCTTTCAAATATATATCTATATATATATATATATATATATATATATGATTCAATGCATTCGTTGTGTTGATCTTCTCCCAGTATGAAGGAGAAGCATCTGAAGATGGTAGGAAACCCAGTATGTGGGATAACTTCAGTCACAAACATCCAGGTCTGTCTCTCCCCCCTCTCACACGCGCACACAAGCGGATTTTTGAAGTGATTATGTGATGATTCTTTTGACAAATCTTGTGGGTGCATTGATGACAGAAAAAATTGAGGACCACAGTTCGGGTGATGTAGCCAATGATTTTTATCATAGTTATAAGGTATGGTTATTCCCATAGAGGAAAGAAAAAAAAAAAAAAAGAAGTTTTAGTCAACACTACAAAAGGAGAAAAGAAAGATGTGGTAATGTGCAAATAAAACAATGCTTTATTACATGTATATTTTGTAAATACTGACACATGGTACAGGAGGACATAATTTTGATGAAAGAAATGGGATTGGATGCATTCAGATTCTCCATCTCATGGTCTAGAGTAATACCTAGTAAGCTCATCCCTTTATTTGATCACAACCATTCATATGTGAACGATGGTCCCACTTGAGATAATTCGCATCTTAATTGCCTGATTGCAAAAAGCTTTGGTATATTCAGGATGGAGGAGTTGGTATATACATAGATTTAATAAATTTTTTTTTTTTTTATGTCTAAACGATTAGCCAAGCCAAGCTCGATCTCATTCGAGCACTGCCGAGCCAAGCTCGATCCGGGCAGCCAAAACTCGATTGAGCTCGAGCTGAGCTAGAGCATCTATTAACTGCGACGAATTGAGCCCGAACACCCCAAGAGGTTTACATCATCATCATCATCAGAGATACTAAATTTTACATCATCATCATTCTTATCTTTTAGGTGGTAAGATCAGTGGAGGAGTAAACCCACTAGGTGTCAAATTCTACAACGATTTGATCAACAACCTCTTATCCAACGGTGATAATCTAATCTCACTCCCACTTTAGATAGTTTGCTATAATTGGTAATATTTGACTCTTTTTTTTCTTTTTCTTTTTCTTTTTTTTTTTTTTTTCTCTCATTAATTTTTCCCTATAGGCTTGCAGCCTTATGTGACTCTATTTCACTGGGATCTTCCACAAGCTCTTATTGATGAGTATGGTGGATTCTTAAGCCCAAATATTGTGTAGGTTGAATTCACTAATAAATAAGTTATAAACATCCACCTACCACATTGTGTACACACATGCAATAACTATTATATATATATAATGATGAACAGGGATGATTTTTGGGAGTATGCTAACTTTTGCTTCAGAACATTTGGCGATCGAATTAAGCAGTGGCTGACCATGAATGAACCATATGAATTTAGTACATATGGATATGGCTATGGTTATTATGCACCAGGTCGATGTTCTAACTACATTGGAAATTGTACGTCTGGGAACTCGGCAACCGAACCCTACATAGTTGGCCACCACCTGATCCTTTCCCATGGAGCAGCTGTGAAGTTGTATAGAGAGAAATACAAGGTTTGTGTTTAGATTAAGGTTTTAGAATAATGAATATTTGACTTGTGAGAAAAGTTGAGAATCCAAGGCACTTGGATATCTTGGAGTGGGACTTTTGGATCGGATGACAGGCATATGATTTGTTACAAAGTGATATTAGAGTTGATTCAATCTTTTATGCTAAACAACCACTCAGAAGTGTTTGGGTTACAAAGTGATATTAGAGTTGGCCCAATCTTTTACGCTAAACACCCATTCGGAAGTGTCTGGGTCCAAGTCATTAGCGGTTCCTCCCCATTATGGTGAACGGATAGGCAAGGTGGCCCAATCACAATAAGTGTGCTACGGGTTTGGATGAGACAAAATGTCGTAAGATTCGTTACAAAGTGGTATTGTAGCTGACCTAATCTTTTATTAAGTGTTACGCTAAACACCCACTCAAAAGTGTCTGAGTCCAGGTCACTAGTGGTGGGTCTAGGTCATTAGCGGTGGGTCCTTCATTATGGTAGATGAGTAGGTAAGGTGACTCAATCACAACGAGAGTGTTACAGATTTGGATGGGACAAATGTCATAGGATTCTTGTCCCATGTTGGATATGGATAGGAATAGGAAGGGTCTTTACTTATAAGAACGGACATACACTATTACCCAATAATTTAAATTTTCGGTATAAAATTTGAGTCCCACTCCAACATATACAAGGCATATGATCAGCCCATTACAAGATGTGGCTTCCACTCCAAGGCATTGGATTTGCTGGACTCACTAAATCAGCCTCCGTTCTTTGAAACTCATAAATTTAAACCCAAATCATTTTCTCTTTCGATGCAATTTAGTGGATTGAAAGCTCCATAGTTGAGGGTTTTACCAACTTTTACCAGCTTCCATGTAGTGGAGTTCTTTCAATCCAATTATTATTATTTTTCCAATCCATATTAATAAGATGAAGTCAAGTACAAACAAGGCCCATCCGACCCAACTACCTTATAATGTAGTGTCACGATTTTGTTGAGTACCAAATTTTGCTACAGAGAAGGTTTTTCATAACAAACTTTGGATATGTGCAGGCTTTTCAAAAGGGCCAAATTGGGATCACATTATCGTCAAATTGGTTTGTGCCTATTTCTCAAAATGTCGCCAATCGAAAGGCTGCTTTAAGGGCTATTGATTTCATGTTGGGATGGTAGGTGTACCCTTCTCTTTTATCACGTGACTAGCCCTACATAGGGCACATTCACTTTGATACTAACTTCCTTTGTCAATCTCTGTTTTCAATGGACTGTCGTTTGCCCTTTTAATGCTTCAAATGTGTAATTTTGTAGGTTCTTACATCCAATGACATATGGTGAATATCCTGAGATCATGCGGTCTTTGGTGAAAAATAGATTACCAAAATTCACCACGACACAGTCTAAGATGCTGAGAAATTCTTATGATTTTCTCGGCATGAATTACTACACTTCATATTATGCTGCCAATGCTATGCTTTTAACCAGTATGAACTTGAGCATGACAACAGATAATCGTGTTATATTTTCCAGTAAGCTCACAGACATTTACTTTGATGAATTTGGTCCTTTTCTTTTTTCATTCATTTGGTTATTTATTTTTAAAACTTAAAAAAAAATGTATCTTTTCCGTTTTCCACAGGCCAGAAAGATGGAGTCCCCATTGGTCAGCCGGTACTGTCTCTCTCTCTCATACACAGACACATACAATTCTCTTTCAAACTGACTAAATGCCGCGTCTCAATGTTTGTGCATTACTACAAAAAGTCAGAAAACTATCGACAGATCAACCTCGTGATAACATTACTTTTATATCACTTATTGGCACGAAATAGTAATTTACATATATTACTGAGCCATTTTTAATGTGAATATTGATTTTGTAGACCGATTTGAGCTGGCTTCACATGTATCCAAAAGGGATTCGAGCGCTTATTCTATATATAAAAGATTACTATGGAAATCCACCAATTGTCATTACAGAAAATGGTAAATTATTCTGAATTCTCACTCTTATGCATAGAATGGAATGTGTACATAATCGTTGGCCAATTGACTTAGCTTGTAGGAGTTCTCCTTTTTCGAAGGGGAGGCAAGCGATTTGAGCCTCACATAACATAGTGTAGCGTGTGTGTGTGAGCGCCTATTGAAATTTGATTACTACCCAAAATTAGAATAATAATACTAATAATAATTATTATTATTATTATTATGATGTCCTCATAAATTTTTTGACAATTTAAACTATATCCTATTTTCTTGCAGGGGTTGGAGATGCAGATAATAGCACTTTACCAATTAAAGAAGCCTTGGAGGATAACTTGAGGATATTGTACCACCATGGACATCTAACATATCTCTCAAAAGCTATCAAGTGAGTATTTGCAAATGGCCTACTAAATTCCAAGCCATCTTTTCATGCATCACATTTTATACTAAAACTTGTAATAACTTGTAATATCAACAGTTGAGGGTGATTGGTTTATTGATTAAAAGAACAACAACACCCCCCCCCCCCCCCCCCCCCCCCCCCCCCCCCCCCCTCTCTTTCCCAAAACAAAAAAAAAAAAAAAAAAAAAAAAAAAAGGGGGAAATAGCTAACTTTGTTTCATAATTAAAATCAACTTTGGGTCTTTTCACAAATATAGCAGGCCTTTCTCCTAGATCCGTGTAAATTACTAATTAGATTCGATTTAGGTTGGGTTGGATTAGAATTTTTAACCAGGCTCATGCTTGAGTGGTCAAAATACTTTATAATAATAATAAATTTGTAAGACTTGTAATTTGTTTCATTCTCCTCCCAGTCCATATGGTTTATGTGATAATGAAACAAAATGAAGCCATTGATAATTATTTTCTGATGTTTATCATTAAAATATATTCACGAGGAGTATCTTAATATCATTTAAATGGGGTTACAACTCTAATCATGAAAATTACTAACAAAAAGGTGGAATATTGACAGGGAAGGTGCTAATGTGAAAGGATACTTCGTATGGTCCTTTCTTGACAACTGGGAATGGTCCTATGGCTTCACTGTTCGATTTGGCATGAATTACGTAGATTATAAGAATGAGTTAAAAAGATACCCCAAATGCTCAGCTTTTTGGTTCAAGAAGTTCCTTCAAAGGAAGAAGTTATTGTCTAGGCCATCTATGTCGCAATGGCTTTTGAAGGGCAATAACACACATTTCATTAGTAACTATTCTTATCTTTCATCTGTATGATCACTTCCTTATTGAGGATTCGGATCCCCACGGGGCCTATTATGTGTCTTAAAATGATGATGTTTAGAGGCATATTTGGCGGTCACTTAAAACTAATTAAAGCATTATTTGTCTATTCCTTTAAATAACCTGTTGTATTTTTAGAATATTAATCAGCCCTCAAAATAAATTAACGTGATAAAAAAAACTAATTGAAAAAAATTAAAAAAAATTCAACATAGAAGAACAACGTGTGATTATATATATATATATATATATATATATATATATATATATATAGTGAAATTGGCGTACTCAATTTGAGAGCCTTACTATATTATATACAAGAGGAAAAATACAAATATAAAAAGAAAATAAAAATCAAATCCTTAAACAATATCCTAAACATACGCCTATAATGAAAACCCAATAAATCTGTCACAATCATCGAGTCAATAAATTTGGAGCAAATATGTTGACCAAGCCTAGTTTGACTATGGAAGATTTAAAAAGAGAAGGCCCAGCAGACTTTGTGAAAACATTTGCAGTCTGTTCTGAAGAGGGAACAAAAATAGGATTAATGATACATAGCCGAACCTTCTCTCGAATAAAGTAAATTTCTACCTCAATATGTTTGGAACTTTCATATAACATAGAGTCAGAAACAAGCGTAATGGCTGATTTATTGTCACAAAACAGCCTTGAAGAACCCTTCTCTACAAGACCTAACTCTCCCAAAATTGATTGAAGCCAAAAGAGAGGATCTGGAGATAATAGCTTGCTTCTTACTCATCCATGATATGAGATGATTACCATAGAAAGTACAAAAGCCAGAGGTAGACCGTCTATCTGTCTTACATCCAGTATAGTCTACATCAGTAAAGTATGAGGGTCCGGGCTGATTTTCTGAGGCATAGAACAGACCAAGGCTAGGGCACAACTTAAGATACATCAAAATATGGTAGACTACATCCATATGAGCTGAACGAGGGGCGTGCATGAATTGACTAACCACACTAACAACAAAAGTTAAATTGGGCCTTGTGTTAGTCAAGTAGATAAGATAACCTACCAAGCGTTGATATATAGACGAATCTGGAAGTAATTCTCCTAAATCAACAGAAAGTTTAAGATTGGGGTCCATAAGAGTAGAAGTGAGTTGACACCGAAGCATGCTAGTATCTTGAAGAAGATCTAAAACATATTTCCTTTGAGTTAAGGAAATTCCATGACAAGATATAATTCCAAGAAAATATCAAAGGGGCCCTAAGTCCTCCACATCAAAGGACTTTTGAAGATGAAGTTTTGCCTGAGCAATCCTTGAAGCATCATCACATGTGATAATGATATCATCCACATATATTAATAACATAATACAGCGACCATCATAGCCACGTCGAATAGAGCAAGTATTGTCTGAGTGGCAGCACACAAAGCCCATAGATAGAACAATATCACTAAAATGACTAAACCATGCTTTAAGAGATTGCTTCAGACCATAAAGAGACTTCCGTAGCAAACAGACTTTCTCAGTATACTCCCCTTCAGCTCGAAATCTAAGGGGTGGATCCATATATATAGTATCAAGTAAGTCTCCATTAAGAAATGCATTCTTAACATCTAACTGATGTAGAGGCCAAGAATGGGTAGCAGCTAAGGAGATAAGTAGTCTCACTGACATCAGCTTTGCTACAGGAACAAAGGTAGCACCAAAGTCTTTTCCCGGAATCTGAATAAAATCTTTCGCCACCTACCGAGCCTTATACCGATCAATCAGACTATCGGCTAAGCATTTCACACTAAAGACCTATTTGCAGCCAATTGTTTTCTCCCCAGCAGGTAAAGAACCAAGTTCCCATGTATTATAATGTTGTAAAACATCCATTTCTGTTATCATAGTAGACACCAAATTAGGATCCTAAAGGGCCTCTAACACTGATTAAAGAATAGAAACGGATCCAATCTTGCCCAAGAAGGATTTATATGCACCTAAAAGACCATTATATGAGACATACTAGGAAATAGGGTGGTTAGTGCTACTAGAAAAACCATACCAATTAGGAGGGTGACAAACACATGTAGGGTAACGGGATGTATGCTCAGGAATGGTAGGAGCCACATGAGAAGGAGAGTTACCTGGACCCGGTTTTGAAAATGATTCTGGCAAGAGAGGTTAAGTGCAATGGCGACAAAAGTAAACCTACAAAGGCAGAGGGGAACCCTGCATGGGTGGAGAAGGAAATTTAAGGACAACGTGATCTTCAAAGATAGGAATAGAACGGGCAATAGAAAAGATCTCCTTCTCCAAACCACAAGAGAGAGAATCCCATACCACTTAATTAGTACTATAAAAAGAAACAGTTTCATGAAATGTTATATCAAGATAATGGTATATATGTTTGGCCAAAGGATCAAAACAACGATAACTCTTTGACATAGTAAAATACCCCAAGAAAATACACCTAATAGATTTATTATTAAGTTTTTTTATGAGAATGACTATGGTTATGAACAAAACAAGTACAGCCAAAAACATAAGGCAAAAGGTGAAACAATGTACAATCAGGCTGGAGAATATGAAGTGAGGCCTTATCACCCAAAACTCGACTAGGAGAACGATTAATCAGAAAAATAGCTATAAGAACATCCATATGCATGCCAATAGAATTTAGGCACATGCATACCACTCAAAAGACATCGGACCACATACATAAGATGACCATTTTTGCATTCAGCCACACCATTTTGTTCAGGAGTGTAGGGGCAAGTGAGTTGATGTAAAATTTCCTTTGTATTAAGTTCAGTTCGGAACTCATTCGAAACATATTCACGCCCATTATTAGAACAAATATTACGAACAACAATGCTATATTGGGTTTTGATTATTTGAAGAAATTAGGTAAATAAAGGAAGCAAGTCAAATTTCTTTTTCAATAAATAAACCCAAGTACAACGAGAATAATCATTAACAAATGCTACATAATATCAATGCCCAATAAAGTAGAAACTAGGGAAGGGCCCCAAACATCAGAATGAATAAAATCAAATATACTAGGAGCATGACTCATATGAGAAATATAGCTAGTTTTAGTATGTTTAGAAAGCTCACAAACTTCACATTGAAACTTACGGTCCTTACATGTTTTATTTAACGAAGGAAACAATAAACATAGATACTAAAAGTTTATATGCCTCAAATGGGCATGCTATAGACTAAAAGTGCAAAAAGAAACATCATAAGCATTAGAAGTAGGTAGGATAGAAGCTTGAAGACCCAGTCCTGGTGGTTCCCCAAAGTTTGAAGACCCAGTCCTGGTGGTTCCCCAAAGTAATAAAGCTTATCACGCTCATAACCCCTGTAAAAATCCCTTTCGAACGAAGGTCTTACAAAAGACAATGATCTGGTAAGAATATAACTACACATTGGAGGTTTTTTGCAAGTTGACTAACGGATAAAAAGTTAAAGGCAAATTTAGGTACATGAAGGACAAATGAAAGAGTAATATCAAGAAACAGACAAACATCACCCTTACTGTGAATGTAAGATGTAGAACCTTCGGTAAGATACAAAGATTGGGTAATATATATGACATTGGAAGAAAAACTAGTAACTCACGAGTTATGTGATCATTGGCCCCAGAATCCAGAACCCAAGTAGGCTGTTTTGCCTTAACATGAAATACAGTAGGAGTACCTGTAGCAATAGTGGCAGTAGGAGCAGTTGGAGGAGCACCAACTCTAGAAGTAAGGGAGCCAAGCTGATCCTGGATCTGCCCAATTTGAGACTAAAATTGGCTCAGTTCAAGAAATACAGTAGGTCCACCAGTAGTAGCAGGAGTCTCTGTAACAGTAGTAGTACGAGAAGAAATAGTTCCAGATGAACGGTTTTTAGCAAATTTATGCTTCAATTCAGGATGAAGTTTGATGCAGCGAGCCTTAACATGTCCAAGCCCTCCATAATGGTGACAAATAATCTAACATCCAGTAGTACGTGATCCAATGAGGGCTGAATTAAATGGTGCCTACATTCGTTACCATTAACAGTAGCACAGGCTTCCAATAGGGATGCCATTGGTGATGCATTCAAGATATAAGATTTAAGTGGTTCAAATTTTGGGCGTAATCCCATAGAAAACTAATAGGTATGCTGGCGGTCAAGATGTTTGACAAGAAGAGAGGCTGCTTCGGGAGGAAATTCATTTAGAGGCTCATATTGAGCCAGTTCTTCCCAACGAGATCTCAAATACGCAAAGTATTAAGCTGG